ACGGATCTACCCTGTGGATAGACAGAGAGAGGAGTGGGAATACATAAGGTTATATATCGTTCTCTCGCGGCTTAAACAGTTGCGTTGGCAGAAACGGGTCTCTGAGGGACACGGCAGAGTTTTGAATAAGAATGGCCCACTTTAGAGCATCTCCTACTGGGTCGACCACACAGACTCTACCGACAACACACACACACACACACACACACGTACACACTCACAGATATTCATAAAAATGTGCAAACAATAGCTGTGACCTGTTTTCCTTTATAAAATGGCAAGAAAAAATATGGCCCATCTGAAGAAAAAAAACCCTCATGGATAAAAGCATGTGCAAAATCACATATTTTCAAAAGCAACTAGTTAGTTGTTGCTCTGAACAATTAGACAAACTAGTCTCTTTTCAGGAATCCCTGAATAATTCATATTCTCGATATTCACATGAACCCAACTTGGAGCATTTCACAGGAAACATTTGGCATCTTAAAAACACAACGCTCATGGCGTAAGCTGCTTAAAAAACAGCATGAATTTTGACTAAACACCCAAACATGTCCGTCAGTTAAAGCAAATTGTGCTGTCAGCGTGCAAATTAAAGTGCTGCTGCTAAAAATCTTATTTAAAAAACAAATCGGTTGTCGAACAACTAGTCGACCATAGTGACTCATACCAAATGTGCACATGCGAGTTGCTTACATGTGGACGTGGGGCGGCTGGAAGCGACCCTGGTTGATGTTGTAGAAGGTGAAGGCTTGAGTTGGGTTGGAGCTGTATTCGTCCACCTCTACCACTCCTCTTCCTCCTCTCTGAGACTGTTGCTGCTGTCGTCGGGCTGCCATGATTTCCGAAAGTGTGAAAGCCATGGCAACACACACACACTATCTCTCCCTCTCTTACACACGCGCTTGTCCGGTGGTGTTTGCTTAATAGGATTCCACTTTAGCTAGGATCAGATTGTCTTGTGCAAGTCTTTGGGATGTCCAGGACCGTATTCAGTGGCTGGCCCACCGTATGCCTCTGCTGCTGGGATAGAGAGCCTGCATGCTTCTCCTCAATCACAGTACACCTGAGAGAAAAAAGGTACGAGATACAAGATAAAGGGAGATGTGAGTGGTGGCAGAGGCATATTATCAAAACCCACAATCAGACGCCCGGTTGGCGGCGGTATGTCCCACTCTACTGTGTGTTAGCGCCGAGATCTTACACAAAGCCATGGTAACCATTCTGTCACGATTTCTATATCTAACAATAGAGTTCCCTGCACTTTCAAGACGGGAGGAAAAAAAAGATGCGATGCAACAGAGACAATTGTTTGGGAGGAAAGAGGACACAAAGCCCTGTGAAAGAAAGGGGAGCTAAAATGTTATTTTTGACCTGAAATAACAAGTAGGGAAAAAGCTGAAAGCTTTCTACTCCATTCCTTGAGAAATACATAAGTGCTCAAACAATGCAAAAACAGAAAAAAAAATTGTGTGTGAAAAGAATAATGATAACAATTCATAAAAGATGGATGATGACTAAGCACACTAAGTAAAACTATGTGAGACAAAAGCTTTGAATAATAGTCTAGTAGATGGTCGGATCATTTTTTTTTTAACAAAACTAAACAAAAATATAATATATTACTCTTGTAAAAAAAAAAAAATGTAATGTGATGGTACCATATAATAAAGTGATGGAATCACGATGGCACTTAGATATATCATGGTACTGAATGATTTCCATATTGATAAACTGTAGTATTTCAAAGAATATCATGGTATTTATCATGCTACATTGTCAAAAAAAACATGTTATTAACATGGTATCATGTCCAAAAATGAATACCCACATACTTGTTGCCACTTTTACTGTTAGAGTAACAGTGGTTCACAAAAAGAGCCAATACGAACTACCAGTTTGATGGGCTAGATTGCATGATGATTTGCTTTTCATTGAGTTTAATTTTGCAAGGTGTCCTTTGCCAGATAAACATGATAAGTCAAGGTTTAAATGACAAGGAATAAAACCAACACATAATATAATATCATAATGCCAAAAATCAATCACTCATGTTTAACAAGTATTCAAGAATTGACTGTATCTATGGTAACTCTCTCTTCTTTCCAAACAGACGAGCATCATTTATAACAGCGCACTCTCTTATACATATTAATTCATGCATATTCAAAATATCTGCGGTGCTAATTTACATACCAGAGATATACTTACCTTTTCAAACTCAAGAGTCTAACGCAAATGTGTTTTCGGAGATGTGCAGGTAAAGACTAATATAACCGGCAGGAGAGTGAAAACGCAGCGGCTCCTGTTTGCAGAGGCTCGCGCTGGTTTGTTTGAACTGGAGTCGCGTGGTGCCCCGGTATGCGTGTGTGTGTGTGTGTGTGTGTGTCTGTCGCTCTTGGAGACACTCCCCCTCGCGCTGCTCTGGCTCTTTCTCCTCTCCTCTTGGCGAATCCTACTATGGCTTAGACTGTCCTTAGAGCTTCAGTCATGTAACTTCATTAATAATCATAAGCCAACCTTTTACTATTGCTAACAGACCAGTTTGTTGTTGATGAATTGTATTCACAGAGTCCTTCCGCTTGACCAACGTCTCCCTTTCATTCAATCAGTTAGGAGTCTACAAGGTAAACGTCACGTATATTCACGTGACAAGCCCCATCCATCAAGTCAGTTATTTCAGTCAGAGAATGGCTTAATTTGTTTTATGTATATATCTGCCAGTGCAATCTATCTGTATGTGCTGTCTAATCAAAGGTTGTATTTTTGTCTGACCTTGATCTGCATGTCATATTAAAGTAGTAGTGGCTTTTTAAACGTAAGTTATATCAGTCTAGACCAGCTGTGTGGTAGTTAAAAATTGAATTCTGAAACATGAATAACACCCTTTTTAGTTTTCAAATTAGTTCAAATATTTTGAAAAGCAAAAATCTTGGTCGACACTGCCCCTTTGTGGGGAGAAAACGGCATGATTTTTGATGATAGGCCTATAATATGACCACAAGAGGACGACAAATCATTCAAAATGGCGTTAGGTGACATAAGGGTGCTTTTTTCTAACTTTGCTAATTTTTCCTCTTTAAAAAAAAGAAAAGATTTAACTAATACATTATGAGAATAAGCAACAATTGTTTCAAACGAAAGGTAACAGCTCAACAAACAGCGTGAGATTTGAATGATTTATTAATAAAGTGAGGTCTTAACAATAGTTCCCATTCTCTTCTAGGGTTGATTTCACACTGCTGAAGTGTTCATTCTTTTGAAATGTGGTCATTCACCATGGTGGAAAGCATTTAATTCAACAGAGCCTTCCAAAACAGTCCTGAAAATGTCAGACTGTGACCCTTCCCCAGCACATTGTCTCCTTCTACTGTAAATATTAACTTAAAAAAAAAAAAAAAAACCCACTAATATATGTACATCATTTACACATCTGTATTCATAAAGCTTACAAATCACACCAGCAGCAGTCTGAGTCACTCTCTCCATCTGAGGGGAAAAGCACTTAAATCTGTGCGTGAAGCCATCGAGGTGTGTGTTTGTGTGTGTATTAGTTGCTTTTGCATGTCACACATTCTTCTTCTTTGCTAATGGCAACTGTTCCTCAAACAGTCACATGCCTTTGTTTTAGTAATCAAATGAGACAACAATATGTGATTAACACACACACACACACACACACACACACACACACACACACAGAAGATCAACTACAACCTGCGGTTTTCTCACAAATCATAAATTACTGTGCTAGCATAATATGTATTACAGCATTTGTGTGTGCATGCATGAATGTATGATTATTTAAGCTCGATGCATGAGCGAATGTGTTTCCCTGTCCATATGTGGATATTACAAATACAAGCATTAATAAGTGCTCATATAACAAAGCAGCTTTAGAATGATCACTCCGCCCCTCCCTCCCAAACAGGAATATATGCAAAACAACGCAGAACACTGTAAAATGACAGGTAATATTATCTGTATTTCAGTTACTTTATGGCTCATCTAGATGTATGTGGTTGTGATTTGATTTAATTGTGATGGGTATTTTTCACATACTTCAGGTATGACATCAGTTCAACAAACAGCCTCTAATCTTCATCCACAGTTCAACAACAAGAGCAAAATATGTGTCTTTGTGCACAGCACAAAGGTGATATGCAATTACTATGTAATAGATATGATATAATTATGTAATACACCATAATAAGTCTCTAAATCCAAAATTGAGTTCTTTGTTGTTCTGAATAAACTCTTCACCATTTCCATGAGTTTTATGACACAACAAGCTCAAGAAAAAAAAGTCTGCCAAAAATGATCACCATATTTACAATTTCTCAAAATGTTCTCAAAATCTAAATAGCAGGTTAATGACAAACTCGTTGCATCACGTAATCTTATAGAAATTAATCTTATACTGGTCAAGCTGACAAAGAGGTACAAACCCAATAAAAGCAGATGGCACTTCAACATTAATACTTTTCTGATATTAAACTGAGATTATTATGAAGTGTGTTTTGTTTTCAGGAGAGGGAGAGGTGAGAATATCTTTCTGTATCCCTGTAGAGGGGCAGTACGGACATTTCTTGTTTCTACAACCAAGGTAAAACATCTCTATACAACAAAAACAAAACAACAACGAAAAAAGCAACTTATATTTTCTTATTCTCTACAATATAAAATTCAAGTGCAGTTGAAGCTCCAAATACTAGTAAAACAACGTACACGTAACTCTAACTCTCATACTGACAGGTAGTTTTTGTCTTTTATCCTGTTTTTTTTATTTATCTTTCACTTGTCTGGCTTTGTCTTTTATTTTTTTGTGGTCAGAACAGAAAGTGAATACTTTCTCATTAAGTGCACTAGGATATTAAAACCCCTTGTGCACATCAGGGGCATGAAAATAACCTTTTCCAAACAAGAATATATATATATATATCTGTGTGTGTCTGTATGTGTCCTAATAAGCCATAAGCTTGCACATCATTTTTGCACACACAGACAAGCGCACGCACACATACACACACACACACACACACACACACACACGCACACACACACACTTACTTACAAATATACTGTAGATATCAAACATCCAAAGAGGGCTTTTGCAAAATCAAGCACATAAATATTAGCAAACAAAAAACATACAAAGACAAAAAAGGACAACTGGACAAATCTCAGACAGGAAGAAGGCCAAACGTCTTTATCTTCTTGCAGTAGTTAGGCCTTCTGGGAGCTAGTGGAGAAAAGACAGGAAGAGAGATGGGGATAGAGCCGGGGTCGTGGAAGAAATGTTCGGGTTTCTATTTATACGGCCGTAGAAACCTGGAGACTTTGGAGCGTAGCAGCTTGATAAAGGAACGTGGAAACATCTCCTTTGATTCCTGCACAGTGTATTTAAAGTAGTTATGAGGGTGGGCCAGCACATCAAACAGAGCTTTAATCAGCTTCTTATCCTGAAAACAGAGAAACGTGCCATTAAAAGAGGAATATAAAGTCATGTCTGACGACAGCTACTTACTGTAGTGAAAATAAATGCTCACTTTTAATATCTCTTGGTGGTTTTCTGAGGCGTAAAGTCGACCGTCTCGAACAATATCCTCTATAAGTTGCTGGTAGTCTTCTATAATGACAAAAACACAAACTGATATTAATAAATGTAGTATATTATTTATGTACACGAATAACTTTTTTACAATTTATAGAATGTTTAATGTATCTCATTTGTGTAGTTGCTGTCTAAATGCCTGGCCACTTTATTAGGTACACTTGTTCAACTTCTTGTTAACGCAAATGTCTAATCAGCCAATCACAGGGCAGCAGCTCAATGCATTTAGCCACACATGGTCACGACGATCTGCTGAAGTTCAAACTGAGCATCAGAATGGGGAATAAAGGCCTTTGAACGTGGCAGGGTTGTTGGTGCCAGATGGGCTGGTCTGAGTACTTCGGAAACTGCTGATCTACTAGGATTTTCATGCACAACCATCTCCAGGGTTTATAGAGAACGGTCCAGTGAGCGACAGTGGGCAAAAATGAGATTTCATGGGCTACATCGAATGTAGTATGTGAATGTGTGTGGTTGTGTTTGGACTGCATCTGTAACTTACCATCATAAGTGACATATGGAACCTGAAATCCCTTTCCACTGTTACCCTCGTTAGATTTGAACTGGATCCACAGCTTGCGTGAACGGGAGGTGAAAGCGATTGGTCGCTCATAAGTTTGACATGTCTCATAAGTTGTAATGGAAGTGGGCAGGGCTAAAAAGAGAGAAGAGGAGCTCAATAATTTGCATCCCTGCTTGCAATAATTAACTAGCATCCAAAATGACAGGTATACCATACCGCTCTTCCTCATGACAAGAACATCCCCGCACTCATCCTCAATGGGCAGGAAGATCTCTGGTACAACAATAAGGATGCGCCTCTTGTTCGGAGGGTTAATGGTCCAAACACAGTCCACATTAGATGGATAGTCACCGGGATAGTTGGGAGATTCGATGTAACCCATGAAATCTCCCAGCTCACCGCCGCATAGCTGATCTGCAAGGGATAAGAACAGACAGACCCGTGAATTCACTGCTTATCATGGGATCTGTGAATGGATTTGCATTATTCTGCCTTACTTTTGCAGTGAGATACATTGTTAGCTCCGTCAAAATCTGTAGTGGTGTTTCCAGGGCAGGTGATGCAGTAGTTCTGTCCGGACTCAGACTGGTAAGTTCCAGCCGGACAACGGATGCACCGGTGCGTGCTGGCGTTATAATGATGCCCAAGAGCACAGTGAACTAGAAATATGGGGAAGTGAAAACACAAAGTAAATATGGACATAAGAAATGTGCTTATTTTGCAGTGTTGCATCATACCTTTGGCTTCACAGTCTCTAAAGGACGTGCTGGCCGTGTGTTTGGTCAAGAGTCCTCCTCCACAGGGGAAGCACACCACACGGCCCGGCTCAGGCTGGAAGGTGCCCAGCGGGCACGGCTGGCACGGGCGGAAGCCATCAGCAGAGAACTGACCGGCAGGGCACTGGCCTACAACCAGAGAATGACATTTTGAGTATTTTGAGCATTTAACAAAAAAACAAGATTATTTTGATTATGCACTACCATTCAAGATGAAATAACTGCTTTCTAAGTTAATATATTTTAAATGTAAATTATTCCTGGGATGCAAAGCTGAATTTTCAGCATCATTACTCCCGTCTTCATTTCCTTCAGAAATCATTCTAATATGCCGATTCGCTGCTTGTTCTTTGAAGAACAAGGTTCAAAAGAACAGAATTAAAAAGAGAAATACAATTTAATGCATTCATGCTGAATAAAAGTATTAATTTCTTTTAAAGAACAGTAGTGTATTTGTGTTATTGTTATTTCTTTTTTCTTCATTTTTTAAAAATGAAAATAGGGGATAGTTCAACCAAAGAGAAAAACAATATAAATTCCAGTCTGGAATTTACAAAGATTATCAAGATAGCTTTATAAGACTTACTGAGTATAGAAAACTAGACTACTTTAATGGTGCTTTTGTCATTTCTGGAGCTTCATAGCCCCTGTTTTCCACTCACTACCAATGTATTTAAATTCACAACCTGAGCATTTGGCAAAATAACTAGATAAACAGAGAAGTGTCTCATGATGCTCATCAGTTATGTCTCGCGAAATTGTTTGAATTTTTTTTTTTAATTCCACAAAGAGGGCTAAAACCAAAGTGATTTCAATCAAGTCAATTGAACAAGCATCATGACACTGCAACACAAATATTTGTAAACATTTCGTTTGGACATTCTACCATGAATATATTACCTAATAATCACCTAATAAAGGGTTTAGTATTGAGGTGTGTTTGTATGCTGTCAGTCAAATACAATTTAGCTGCTCAAATAGTTAAAATGAGCTGCTACCAATTGATCCAGACTTTGCTAAGTCCTTCATAAGAAATCTTGCATTTGCATGATAATGAGTAATTCTGGGATTTTCTGACCCTGAATTTCAAAATCTATTGATTCATTTGAAAGAATGTGGTCTTGCATTAATCAGCTCCAATAATCAATAGGTGTGTCATTACCATCACAAAGCTATTCATTGATTGAGTGTTTGATAATGTGTATCCACACACACCTCCGCACTCAGAGACGTTCTTGGCCCCTGCGATGCCCTGTCCCTCGGTGCTGGGGCAGGGCTCGCAGGACAGCTGGCCCTCCCTGTCCTGATAGGTTCCTGGCGGACAGATGACGCATTGTTCCTGTTCTCCACTGTAGAACGTTCCCACACCGCAGCTGACTGGGAGACACCCGAACACACAGAAACGCACCCAAACACACAGATACAAGATTTATGAAAGTGTCTTCAACCCCAGATCAGAAAACAAAACCCTTATCCCAAAATACTCACCGCAATTCCCGTCAGTGAGGACCTGTCCTATACTGCAGGTCTCATCTCCTTCTGTCTGTCGCACGGCACGCTGGGCCACCTCGTACGCCGTGCCGGAGAACTGAATGTAGAACTGCTGTTTACTGATGGACTTCCTTAGTGTGCGCATGGCATTCTGAAGCCTCTGTTTGGTCTTCTCACGCACACAGTCCACATTACATGATTCTGACACATAAATAAAGACAAAAGACATCACATTTACACTCTGAAGTCACAGATGGCATGACATGGGAACGCAACAGTTAACAAGAGAGAACTACTGTACACACATGCAGGCAATGTTACCTGAGGCTTCCTCTTCTTTCATTTCCATCTCAAACTCTGCTGTGATGTGGGAGACTTCCTTTGATGGAGACTTCCGGCCACGACGGCGCTTTTTGGAAGAGTCGCACTTCAGATTCACAAACGTCACCTGACAGTCGTCTGTGCAAGGTAACTGACCAGCTGCTGAAAGGACAGGAAAGGGAATAAGGAAAAGCAGAATAGCAAATGAAACGGGAAATCAGAAAGAGAGGATTAGGAAAAGAAGAAACAGGAGAGAAGAAAAATAGGTAAAAAGAAAAGAGAAAATGGAAGCGAGGAAGAAAACGAGAAGAGAAATGGGAAAGAAAAGAGTTGAGAAAGAAAAGATCAAAAAAGAGAAAAAGTCAACAAAACAGGAAAAGGAAAAGAAGACAAAATGATAGGGCGAAGGAAAAGGAAATAGGAAAAAATATTTAAAAAACAGAAGAGTAAAGGGAAATGGGGAATAAAAAACATGACAAAAGAAAAAGAAAAAAGGAAAAGAGAAACAAGGAAAGGAGAAAGGTAGAAGAAAAATGGTAGAGGAAGAAACAGGACAAATGAGAAAAAAGGAAAGAAGGAAAGGAAACAAGAAGCAGTAAACAAATAGAAAAAATATTTCACAAATGAGAAGAGAAAAGAAGAAATTTGAAAACAAAAAGATAAAAAAGAAGAAGAGAAAGGAAAATGTAAATGAAACAGGAACAGGAAAAGGAAAGGAAACAAGAAGAGAAAAAAGAAAAGGAAGTAAATGAAAAGGGAAAAGAAAAAAGAAAGAAAAGAAAAGGAGAAGTGTAAAGGAAAGAGGGAACCAGCAAGGAAAGGAAACAGGGCAAATGAGAAGGAAAAAGGTAAAGGAAATGAGAATCCTTCAATGAAAAGATATTTTTGAATGTGGTGTGTTTCTCACCCTGCAGGCTCTGCTTCCCCGTGTCCCGGTGTTTCTCCTTGTTGCGGGGTCTCAGGTGGCACTTGGCGTCTTTGATCTTAAACCGTGCTTTCTGCTTCACAGGCTGGGCCAGCATCTCTGATGGATGGGAAATCGGCAAAGTCTCACTTTCACTTGCACGGTTTGGATAATAATCATGGAAAACACCAAAATATGAGGCCTTTTTGAAATCCAACATTCAAGCACACTAAATCTGTCCTGTGGGCTGAGCGGCCCATTCCAAAGTATTAAAAATATGAGTGTCTAGTTTAACACAAGAAGTCCAAAGTCAGTGAGGGAATGAAGGGAGACGAAGGGTCAGGAGTTGAAATGAGAACACACTGCGGTTGAGGACTTCAGCTGGTCTTCTAAAAGCATATCGAGCGTGTGGCGGTTTTGGACCCGACAGCAGGGGGTTTGGTAGTGAAACTTTCAGCGATGTTTTTTTTTCTTTTTTTTCAGAATGTGTGAATCAAGCGAACTGTCTGTTTGCTCGTTCTCCCCGGGCCCCGTGTGTAGAGGCCCTCAGGAGCCACTGTGGTAGAATACCGTCTGTGTATTTCAAATCTGTCAGCATAGATGTGCAGCCAGCACAGAGTCATTTACTCAGGTTCACAGCATTCCTATGTACGCCGTCCAAAACAAGAAGCGGCGCTTGTGTATGCGAGAGAATTTCGAAGCCGTCTGTCTGTCTGTCTGAGTCTTGCATAGCTGTCCAAAATCTACACAACGAAACCACATGGGGAATGTCGAATTCTGAGAGGCGGGAAAGAGAGAGTACTGGGGATAATAGTAGCGTGTCTGTGACCTCGGCAGGGTTGAATGATAGGACCTGTCCTAATTCTCCTCACAGATCTCTGTATCTGAGCCCTTGCAGTGATCCAGTGTCTGTCATGCGATGTAATGGACTGGAACACGTCACGCTAGATGACTCGTTTACAGCTGTCCTGTCTGATCTCTGCTAAAGGGGCCAAAAAAACAGAGAAGCGTCCTTGCTCTGAGCCAACCGAAAGGAGATGTAGGACATACTAGACTCATGGTGAAAGGAAAGGAAAGGAAAGGAAAGGAAAGGAAAGGAAAGGAAAGGAAAGGAAAGGAAAGGAAAGGAAAGGAAAGGAAAGGTCAGTGTACGTTCTGGTAATTAGATTTTCTACTTAAAGGATTAGTTCACTTTTAAAAAAACTTTTGCTGATAATTTACTCACCCCCATGTCATCCAAGATGTCCATGTCTTTCTTTCTTCAGTCGAAAAGAAATTAAGGTTTTTGATGAAAACATTCCAGGATTTTTCTCCATATAATGCACTTTACTGGGTACCAAACGGTCCAAGGTCCAAAAGACAGTTTCAGTGCAAACTGTTCAAAGGGCTTTAAACGATTCCAGACGATGAATAATGGTCTTATCAAGCGAAACGATCGCTCATTTAAAAAATAAATAACAAAGTTTAAGTTTTATAAGCTCACATGCTCGCGTCGCTCTGTTCTGTGTGACTCTCCTGTTCGAACTCGTTCATCAAAATGAACAAATCTTTTTCCGAGTCATTTGATTCATTTAACGACCGAAATGAACGAATTGACTCGGAAAAAGATTTGTTCATTTTGATGAACGAGTTCGAACAGGAGAGTTACACAGAACAGAGCGACGCGAGCATGTGAGCTTATAAAACTTAAACTTTGATGTTTTTTTTTTTAAAATGAGCGATCGTTTCGCTTGATAAGACCATTATTCATCGTCTGGTGTCATTTAAAACCATTTGAACAGTTTGCAGTTTGCACTGAAACTGTCATTTGGACCTTGAACCGTTTGGTAGCCAGTAAAGTGCATTATATGGAGAAAAATCCTGGAATGTTTTCATCAAAAACCTTAATTTCTTTTCGACTGAAGAAAGAAAGACATGGACATCTTGGATGACATGGGGGTGAGTAAATTATCAGCAAAAGTTTTTTTAAAAGTGAACTAATCCTTTAAAGGTACAATATGTAGCTTTTTTTTGGCCACAAGAGGGCGCAGTTTCCAACAATAACAAATGCGTATGTTTATGACACAGTGACGAGCTGAATGATGGGACTTGCTGTCAAGCTGATGGATCTAATAATGTTTATGGATGAGTGAAAACACTCATGTTTTTTAACATTACAGTGGTATGAAGCAGGTCGCGATTGCTAAAGAGACAGATATCACGCGAGTCCCGCAGATATAAAGGAATAAGGACATTTAATTCTACTGACCTACACGCAAGTGCTGGATTACTCACACAGGTCAGTTTATTAGACGAATTCAACTTGTGAGGGAACGCAGCGCTGTTTCACTTGGTCTAACGTTACTCTATCACACTAAACGGCATTTAAATGTGTGTTGAAAGTTACAATGTTATTCTACATGTTAGTTCGTTTTCTATACGAAACTAGCAGCTAGATCGAGATTAGAATAACGTACTGACCATATTCTAACATGTCATCATGTTGAGCTAACGTTAACATTGATTTGTTTTATGTACATTTGCTCACCTGTCTAATAAAGCTGTCAAGTCGTGACTCGTGAAGCTCTGTCGAGTCCAAGTTAGTCCTGGACGTGGAGCTCTTGGCATCTCAAAAACCCCACGCTGATATTGATCCTTATTTTAGTTCTCCTTGTTTGCCCCAAAGTCTGCTTGCCATGGTTTATGTTTGAACGAAACAAGAACTTTGTGCCGCTAAACGTTACGCATTACGCAGTTGTCCATGTCTGTCGCCATGGTTACATCATGGCTATGGCAGTTCGAGTGGATACCGAGGATAGCACGGATATTGCGCCATTGACAGGCGACATTTTTTTCCGGGACGGCCACGGAGGCCCTGACCCAAATGGTGCACTTCATGCGGACTTTCGGTCTCGTGGACTTAAATCGCGCGTGCTCGCCGAGTCTACGAGTCCGTAGGCTGTCCCATTTAGCATTTTAACGCTCTGAAGTGTGCTCAGCAGCGCCCCCTTTGTACCCTTGAAGCGGTCTTCCCACGAAGCCCGCATAGATGCAGGCTCCACGCACTTTACCCAGGAATCCTTGCGAAAGGCCAATCAGACAACGGATGGGAGGAGATTTCACTCACGGACAATTGTTAACATGGCTGAGAAGAAAATATTTAAGTGTAATTATCATTACGATTTTTATGACAAGTTTATACAAACATTATGATCATCGACCAGTGGTTGATGTCTCAAACATAAGGCTAATAATAGCGAGCTGAATAATACGATCGCATTATGATTCATTAAATAAATAGAACAGAATGTCAGGGCTTTACTGAGTCATATGTAAACACAACAACAATAGGCATCATATTTCCCCAAACCTGCAGCTCCTGTCCATAACAACAATCAGACCGTCTTCCTGTTTCCGGCGTGACGATCGAGTCTGTCCCAAAAATACCTCTCAATGCGCCCTCGCAGACTCGCGCTAAGGGCCCTATAGGTCTGCACTACATGACGTCACCGAAGTTTGGACTCTGAGGAAGTCCACAAGTCTGGACTGTGCCATTTGGGACAGGGCCTTATTTAAAATTGGAATTTCTCTGAAATAAAAAATTATTTAGACTTTATTCAACGAATAGTTGAATAAAGTCGTTATTTTAGTTTTTTTTGCGCACAAAAAGTATTCTCGTCGCTTGATAAACTTAAGGTTGAGCCACTGTAGTCACTCTGACTAATTTAACAATGTTTTCTGGGCCGGCAGGTTTCACTTACAATAGAAGCCTATGGAGGAGTGAGACAGCTCTCAGATTTAAACAAAAATATCTTAATTTGTGTTCCGAAGATGAACGAAAGTCTAACGGGGTTGGAACGACATGAGGGTGAGTAATTACTGGCAGAATTTTCATTTTTGGGTGAACTAACCCTTTAAACAAAACGAAAAATCTAAAATTAAACCGTTTTTTTATTGCTCTTTATTGCTCTTTAAGTAGAAAATTGAAATTACCAGAAGGTACACAGACCAGGAAAAGGAAAGGACAAAGGAGAAAACAGATAAATAAAAGGAAAGAAAAGAAAGGAGAAAACTAAAAGTAGAAACAGGAAACAAGGAAAGGAAAATGAAAATAAAAAGAGAAAGGAAACAGAAAATCTGGAAAGGAAGGGAAAAACAGAAAAGGGAGAACAGAAAAAGTAAAGGGAACAAAAAAAAAAGAAAAGAAACAAGAAGTAGAAGAAGAGGAAAAGGAGAGTACAGAGCCAATTAAGGGACATGGTGATAAAATATATTTCAATGCTTTTTGTGTTCGCTCGCAAAACTTTTGCGTGTTTTTTTGCGCCCGAATGCAAAGTTTCTCAGATGAGCACAAAACATTTTGCAAGGGAACACAACGTTTCTTGGGGGAACGCAAAACTTTTGCGAGAGGACGCAAAATCATTGACATTGACAATCATTGACATTTTCCTCCCATCTCATATTTATTTCCTTCACCCTGTCCCTTTAGGTGCTCTGTATGAGAGGAATGAGAAGAGAAATAGGAAAGAAAGAAACAAGAAATAAAAATGGAAAAAGAAAGGAAACAATTAAAAGAAAAAATAGAGAAAGAAAAGGAAAGAAGAGAAAATGTATGGGATGGGAAGGAAACAGGAAAAGGCAAGTGTTCGATCTACCGAAGATTGAGAGATGTATTGTAGTACATACTAGATGTATGCACTAGATTTTGTAGTGAATACTTGTTTTTTTTTTACTGCATACTATATTTTACAATGCATGTTAGCTGTTTTAATACCTATTATAGACTACTGTTTGTAGTGCATACTAGACTGTAGTACATACATGTTTATGAGAGGCTCAGTGCAGATAAACCACAGAGAAAAGATACAGTACCTGTGCAGGTTTGCAGGGAGCTGCTGCTGGATGTAGTGACGTTCTTCTTCAGTGGAACTTTACCTGGCTGGACAGGCACCCCGCAGCTCAGAGTGTAACTGTTCTCAGAGTCTAAATCACACACACACACACACACACAGAGAGAGAGAAAGCTTTTAAACAGATGTTCCAGGTGCTGCATGCACCTGAGTATTGTCTCGTAGTGTGTGTGTGTGTGTATGATGTACTGTGTGTGTATGATGTACTGTATGTGTGTGTGAGTGGAGAGGGTTGGCTGTCATCATGACAGAGTACTGTGAAGTTGTCTAGAGAGTCATTGGCCTGACTTCGGCCTTGCCACAAATCGTCCAATGGCAGGCTGAGTATTTCTGTTGGCGTGCGGCTACAGCCCGCGGGTGAACAGGATTAAAAGAGGTTTTATACAGCTTTAGTGCTCGAACCCGGGGAGACCATCCATTAACACACACGTACAGAGAATCCAAGAGTCATAAACACACACACACACACACACATATATATATATACTCATACACTCAGATTCGCATTGATCTAACTTACAGATGAAATTTAGACTTTATTCATTTTGATTTATTCTAGTATATACTACTAGGTCACATTTCTGATTAGTGCATACTTATTATTGAAGTGCATACTAGACTTTATTGTGCATATTAGCTTTTATAATGCATACCTCTTTCTGTAGTACAACCACTGCATTGCCAAATTGTTCACAAAATTCCCTATATTTAATATTTATAATGCACACTACTTTCTGTAGTAAATGCACTGCAAGTTTTCTATAAAAAAAGTCTACAACCTTTAAAAAAAAATTGTTTCTTGTTTTAAGCGTAAAAACTTAAAACACTGTGCAAGATCAATGATTTAACGTAGCAGCACCTCTCTACAAGACTTTTTTGACGGATGAGCGGTGGTTCTTTTCTATTTAAGCGTAAAAACATCAAAGCTTCAAACAAGCAAGAAAAAATGTAATTTAATAAATGTTCTCTGAAAATATTTTTCAGATTTTTTTAATACTTGTTTTTGTAGTGCAAACTAGACTGTATATATATTTTTTTAGATCGTAGTGAGTGAGAATGTGGCCCTTGTGTTAGAGCTGTGCGAATGGACCAAAGTTTAGTGAATCAAGACTTGTATGAAAGTTACTTCTGGGTATTAATATGTTTACGCACATTCCTCTAAACCGATGGTCCTTGCATAAAATTTGTCAGAGACAAGTTTTGGGCGTCTAACACCTTAATACCTTTACCAAAGCAGTCCGCAGAGATGATAGATGTACTTATGAAATATCATTGCAACATTCTTTTCTAGTCACTTTCTCACAGAATGTCAAATATCACATTCACATGATTCCTCTGGTCAGGCCAATTGAACGTTTCTTGCCCTTTATTGTTTGTTTGGTTATCTAACAGATATGACAATGCTTGCATGTTCAACGTCATTATAGCAGTATTAATATGACTGTGAGTTGTTGAAAGCTTAATTTTCATGTGCTTTCTCATTTCTGGCCAGTTTTTCCTCATTCCATCAGCCTCCTCATCATCAAGCTTATTGATTTGATTGAACCAAGCATGCAAATTTTGTGATTTAAGGTTTGAACCACTAGAGGGTAGCAGAGGACAAAGACTGTTTGAGCCAATAACCATAATAGAGTGCTGCTTGATCTAAATAAATATATTCCTTTCAGGCGTATATAAGAAAGTGAACAGATTTACAATTTATAATGTACATTACTGAATTTAAACAAATCAAACTGCACTGAATGTATCCAAACAACACAGAATACAACATGCTGTTCAACTGACTTCCAGAGAAATCCCAAAAAGTAAGGTAACTAACCAGCCAGGAAAAGGGCGTTTGATGGACAGGACAGCGAACACGTCTCTCCTCCACCTGTTTTAGTGCAGCTGAGCTGAGCACGAGGTGCCGGCTTCCCATTCGCGAGGCATTTTACCGCCTCTGAGGGACAAACGAGGTATGGTTACCATGGAAACGACAAACATTATGGGATATTTCGGGACGGGGAATGAAACGAGGACTTACCAACACAGTCTTTCTTGTTCCAGTGGAGCTTTTGTCCAGGAGGACACACACACTCGTAACTGCCCGGTGTGTTCACGCAGCCATATTCACAGCTCCCGTTATTAATGCTGCACTCGTCAATATCTGTTACGCACAGATGTCAGTTTGTCCATCAAATTGTGATTTTTTTTTTTTTTTTTTAAACCATTGGCTGGTATTGAGATTGTGAACTCACCGCCACAGTGTGTGAGGCCATAGAGACTGTAACCTTTGTGACACACACACTCAAAGCTTCCCGCGTAGTTGATGCAGATGTGGTCACATGTCCTCTCAAAGGAACACTCGTCAATATCTGCAGAGGACAAAAACACACATTTACACACACAAAACCATCAAAGCAAACCAATTGTGTATAATCATTTTCTGGCTTGAAGTAAAAATGACCCCACAATAGTGATTTCACCAGAAACTTGGAGTATCCTAAAAGACAAAAAAAAACAGCACACTCTTTGCTTGTTTGACTCATGGTTACACTTTATTTTAAGGTGTCCATGTTACAGTGTAATTATAAGTACTGAGTAATAATAATAATTAACTACATGTACTTACTATAGGGTTAGGGTTTGGATTAGGGTGTGGGGTTAGTTACATGAAATTATGGACCATTTATAGACCATTAGCTAAATGACTAATTGTAAAATGTTAATGTAAATACTATAGTAACTATATGTAACATGTCTAGCAAGGACACGGGTTACAGACTCATTTTTGGTAACGTTTTTCAAAGCCACAATTGCAACCAGTGTAATTAGTGGTGTTTTCTAGGACAAACATACAATTTATCCTACTTTAGTAGTTTAGATTCATAGGTCTTTAGTAGGCTATGTTTGTTAAAATCCCAAACAGTAAAAAGCACATTTTGTGTTACAGACATGAGTGATACATCAAATCATGCATCATGTTGAGGAGACTTCTTTTACTTTTCTAAGTGACTTTTGTCATCTAAAAATAGGTGACAGAGATACCATAGAGAGAGATCCATGTCACACAGCATCATGGCAGTCAAAACATGCTGAAGTTAAAGGTATAGGGTAGGCAATTTTAGGGAGGCTAGCAATAGCAAGCTAGCTTGTAAAGCATGAGATCCCCTCCTTTCAGAGCGTCACCAAAGCCACGCCTCGTCCAAAACATATGAACGCACACAGCCAGAGCAGAGTCTGCAAAGCGTTAAACTAGCTCATGTCTAAAGCACATAACATTACAATAATAATGAACGTAAACAACTTACAGAGCTCTTGTTGTACTAACTGACTGATTCACTGATAGGCTTACTGAACGCGCTGATGATGTGATGTCTGCGTGAGCAGGGTGCGCGGATGTATGGAAATACATACAGGCAGGTTGGACATTGTATCGATTGGACGAACATTTTTTGGTCCTGGGACTTCCACAGAAGATGTATGTACATGTTTTAATATTTAGACCACCTTATTGATCAGGATGTAAAGAGAGTTTCAACCAATATAACAAAAGTGTTTCTAAAAAAAAATTGCCATCTCTACCTTTTTAATATTATTGTTATAGCCACTCTGCCACACCCATAGAAAAAACTGGCAGCTATTTTCCCTTGATAGATTTTCTGGTATGAAGGGAATAGAAAAGTAAAAAATTAAAAACTAAAGATGTACCTATATAAACATAGCAAGGATAATATACAAAGAGACAAGCATGACAGAAAGATGGCACGTCCACAACATTGCGCTTCACCAACACACCATTCAATAAAAACACACATACACACCCCACGCACTGATTAGCCAGGAATCGGGTGGTGTGGTGTTTTGGTTTAGCTTAATAAAATCATTTCTGTTTGTACTCCCACTCGTGCTCCGACATGCTTGTAGGAATCCGCCACCATTCACCTCCAGTAAACTCAACTAAACACACACACACCTCATACGACGCCAAATGCTTGCCAGCATCCCAACCAAACAACAGCCTGAGCATGAGGTGCTTTTGATGAAGAGGTGTGGGACGGTGTGTGTGTGTGTGTGTAGACAGCTTCTACATCCACATCTCGCCCAAATGGCTTTAAAATAGTTCACCCCCAAAATTGATGGGGTCTTCCAGAATGTTTAGCTCTTTTTCATTCAAAAACAAGTCAAGTTGCTTTTAGCCGTACAATAGCTTTGTGCGATAAACAGTTCGTTATTCAAAGTGTAGTCGTGCAAGCATGAATAAAAGTTTACAGCTGAGAGTGGAGAGGAAGATTTTCACTAAATAAAAACCTACATTTACAGTCATAATAAACCTTTACAGTTCAGTCATAATTTTTTTGTCATGTATGGTACTTGATATTTTATGGTTATTTTTGGAGCTTGAAGTGGTTGTTGGACGTATCAGTGCAGCCTGAACATTTTCCTAAACGTATCCTTTTGTGTAAAACAAACCCCTTGTTAACTAAAACAAGGGAACAGGGAAACAAATTATTACAACGTGACCCTGATTTAGTAAAACGAGGGAACAAACTCTTAATTAATGACCGTGATGTTTTTTTTCCTGCATGTCATGTGCAGCCGGTCCGTACCCATGTAGATCTAAAATGTTCATTTGTATTTCCACCCAGAAAGCAACAATTTGTAGTGTGAAAAGTGACTCACCTTGACAGGTGCGCTCGTTGGTCAGGAGTTTGTGTCCTTTCTGACAGCTGCACTCGAAACTGCCCACCGTGTTCCGGCAGAAATGATCACAACCTCCATTATTCTCCAAACACTCATCAATGTCTGCAGAGAAGAGAGAGAGAGATGATGATAATGGTGGAAAACACTGATACGAGGGTGTAAAACCAGTACCACTATTCTCATAAACAGCTTTTTGGATATATAAACAGTTTTCCTAAACAGGGAGCCACATACACAGCTCCACAACATCATCTTAAATATATCAGCCAACCCTGGCACACCGTCCACAAACCCAATAAAAGCTAATCCCATCAACAAATGTGTAGGAAAACTGTGTATGTGTGGAGTTTGGGGTTTCCTCTGCAGTTATTTCAGTAGCTGTAGCAAACACACACTGGCTAAGGTTTGCACTAATATTAACTGAACTGTGGGACAGAAAGTTTCCACTAAGCTTAAGACCACAGATACACATGCTAACTGAACACAGGGCATTAACGATGCTTTTGGGAAACGCACCCCAGATTAATAAATCAGATTATAACTTTGAGACTTTTGGATCCCACTGTATGAAATAGTTTACCACTTTAAACAATGCGATTGTAAAATGTTCTAAACATATTGAATGAATCTCATTCTAAAGCTAGGATGAGCAATAGGGCCTTTAATTAGGGCTATATGACGCCTAAACTGCATTTAATTGATTTGATTAACAAGGCAAGGCAATTTATTTATAATAAAGCACAATTAAAAACAACGAGTAGTTGACCAATGTTCTGTACAATTCGTAAACATATGCAAAGAGCAAACACAAAACACACCAATATTATACAGCACATCCATCTTACTACTCACAGTAAAACAACAAGCTACTAACAACTAAGCAAGTAGGGTTAGGGTTAACAGATTAATTCTTCCTGAGAGCCAATTTCCACACTAAAGCTGTGAAAATCAAACTGTTTATCAGTTTTATGCTGGATTTCAAATATAAATAATGTTACCCATCTCACTCCGTCTGAATCATTTATCTCTGCTGCTCTATTTCTCCAAAAAAGATAATAAAGAGAAAGAGAATAAGCTCTCTAGAAGTTTGCTAGATCTTTTGACCGATGTGCTAAATCATAATATCTACTTTTCTTGTCTCAATCTGTGTGTTTAAACATCAAACCTCTCCGTAGAGTCTCCAGAATCAGAAGACCTATCCTGTCTAATAAAAGCAAGTGTGAGCCTGTGCCGTGAGGTCATCGGTCTCCATGTCCTAAAGGAAGTGCTTTATCATCTCTGATGGTTTATTTCCTGTCTACCTGTCAGATATGTGTTGTTCAGGTCAAGATGTTCTACAATACCTAAACCGCACATATATCATCCGAATCTTTGCATTGAAAAGATGCTTTCAGGGAGCTGGTGTATGCAGCTTGATAACCAATATAACATCATGCGGATTCATTAACAGAATAAAAACAAATTATAGTGCAAATGACATAATGGAATGTTTAACAGTGATTTAGCATTCACACTTCCCTAAAACACACTCTCACACACATGCACTTTATTCCAATGGCTCCTTAGCGCAGGCAGGGGGCTAATGATATTCCACATAATGAAGTTTAATGGGACTAAATAAGCTTTGAGTTTAAGCAAACATTGGACATTCTTCACATCTGTAAATGATAAACAACTGCAGGGGCGAAGACTGAGAGGCAGAGAGGATTCGTCTACATCGATTTTCGATCGGAAACCGGGAGAGCAAACACTCACACAGCAGTCAGAGACGTGCTTATAAAACAAGTGCTACGCTAACTTGATCTGATTAGAAAGAAAGAAAGCTTGCAAGAAGAATGTGGAATCCCCATGAGCTCTGGAGCGAAGGTCTGTACTCAGGGATGTGTGTAGCCTTACCAAATATTTAGAGAAAAAAGCAATTAAAATTAATACATTTGTGGAAACATGAACCTCTACAAATAAGTCAGGACAGAGTTTTCAACAAAAGGATCGTTTTTGCAGATTGTTTTCAGGCTGCTCACCTCAGGCTAGCTAATCTCTGAGAAATGCGCCGTTGAGCGCGCCAGTGTATTTTTTGGAGATTTAAATGGCCTGTTTTATTTGCTTTGTTCATAAAGGGATTTTGCCATGTAATAACACAGGCGCTGCTTGTCCAGAGCAGCCAGGAAAAACCAGCGTGATTTCGGCCCCGACACTAAAACTCTTCGGAGCGCGCGGGGGTCCGTTGGGCCCGGTGTCATCCGAGGTGATGCCGCCTGGCTGCTATTGTGCGGATTACTGGGCTCTGTGTGTATTAACACAAATAGAGCTCAGTGTCCTGACAGAGAGAGAGAAAAATGGAGGACTGATGGAGAAACCAGGCCTGCTATGACCCTATCAGCTTGATCTTTTCACAGTGCTGTTTGGTGACTGTGAGGAAAGGTGAGCTTTCTAAAAAAGAGCCTAGAACATCATAAGATCACCAGTTGCATAAACATGGCCACTAGTTAAGACTGTGTCTGATCAAACAGTCTGATCAGCTAGCAATTAGTAAGGGATAATCAGTCTTACCGTTCAGATTCAAATCAGACCATTCTACATGTAACTCACATAAAAAAAAATGAGATGACAAACTTGTAAGAATAGTCTAAGCAGTTTATGCAACCAGCCGCTGGTCCACACATCTATTTTTACTCAAGAATCACCTGCTTAGACAGGAAGAGATTGTCTGACTAATAAAAGCAATCCACCACAGATCATATATTAGAACAGCATCTTTGTAAAATCTTGTACAGAAAACGCAGGAAAATAGTGAAAAATGATTTTCAGCAATCCAAAATTCTAACTCAGAAAAACAATGGAGAATTTACAGTTCTTCTAACAAGCATCTAGTTGTTTTGCTTCTAAGTGCCTCAACCAAAACTGAATGCCTCTTAGATTTAAATTATACTTGACTGGAAAACTAAAAGAAAAAAAATTCTAATCCTATCATTTACATAAAATAAACTAAATTGTTATTTATTTATTAGTTTGCATATGTATATATAAACTGTATATATATATACACACACACACACAGTATATATATATATATATATATGTAGACACACATAATATATATATATAAATGTTATTTTTTATTTTTGTTCTTATTATTATTATTAGGATAATGTAATAATAATAATATGTAGATTGTTCATAAATTTATATTTTAATTAATTAATTTAACACTCGTTCAAATCAGTATACAGTACATTATTCCAAAGCAAAAAAGAAAGAAAGAAAAATAAATAATGCAGAATAATGCAATTCATTCCACATCTGAAACAAGTGAAACCATTTTGATTACATGGACTATGTGTGTGTATGTATGCATGTATGTATTTATATATAATAAAAGATATTGTCAAAACCAGACAGATAGCATGGTTATTGCTAGTCCATCAGCTACTAATACTAGAACTGTAACCTGGAAGACAAAAGCTAAACTCCTTTCAAGCTATTTGAGTCCCAAACACAAAAGTATGCAGGCCAGCAGAGACGTGCCTGGGGTCCCATCAGCCGGACCGAGGAAACATACACACACAGACACAGATATGAGCACACGCACACAAGACAAACTGTTCACTCCCATAATTCATTTCCCCCGATGACACCGTACACACACACCTTCTAATCAAACATCTGGAAACTGTTCGCAGTCATTTCAATCACTCTCTCTATCCTCCCTCGCTCGCAATCTTCCCGCGTGCGATTGAGCGAGCGTCTGTCAGCGTGCTGGCCAAGCTCTCCTGTCTGTCATCGCAGATGAAGGGCCTTTTATCAAATTCAGGCATTTAAACATGCCCTAAATAGTTTATATTGAAATGATTTTGTTACAGAGGCAAGATTGGGCAGCTCCCTGCGAGACCACTCACCGAGGAGGGGAAAGAAAGTGTGAGAGAAGTAAAGCGAAGATGACAGTGGAAAAATGAGGAAAGGTCACTTGTAGACATTTACACACCCACATACACTTATTATAGCAGCGTGATCTCTATGTGATGCACTTTTCTGTTTAGTCTGGGGTTAACGTTGGTATAAGCGCAGAGTCGCCTGGGTTATTACATAAGTGGCACTTGTGCCTTTTCTGTTATGCGCAACATTTACATCCCAATTACATATGAGGGCTGAACACCTATCATTATTGTGCTTTCATCTGTCCTTGCTTCCACAGACTTAAAACTAACCGACTTAGCATCAGATAGTCTGTTAAAGATGTAACGTTAAAGGGATAGTGCCCATAAACGGTTTGGTTGCCCATATTCTTTAAAATATCAGAATAAAGAAATTCATACAGGTTTGGAACAACTTGAGGGTGAGTAACTGATGACATAGTTTTCATTTTTGTATACATTTTCAAATTGTATACATTTATTTTAATTAAAAATATATTTAAAAAATTAAATAACATTTTTTTATAATACAAATACTGGCCTATAATGCTGTGAGGGAGCCCCGTATCAAATTAGATGGTCACTACTGAGCTCTTTTAAGCCTGTTAGGGGTGTGTCCTATATCTCCAGCCAATCAGCTTTAAGTCAGAGGCGTCAGACCATCCTCTCATATGTTGATACCGATGATCAAAAGAAGCTCTATAATCACTGCTTACTTACACTTGCTCCCTAACTGAACAGAGACGTCGAGAGTGTCAGATCTAGCATTCACAGCTAGAGTCTAATGTAACATCCTTGTTCTTCTTTACTAAAGAGCTTGATTACAAGCTATTTTTACAGAGTTCACTAACAGGCAGTAATAAGTGGTCACTGGCACAGCACACCTGTGATAATTGACCCAAAAGTATGTGTGTGAGTGCATGAGTGCGTGCGTGATAAATGGCGTGTCAGTGAGCAGATCTAAGACCTTGTGCTGGATTTATGAAGGCAGACCCTGAGGCGGGCCTAATTATTTGGGCGGGTCACAGCCAAACCAGACCAACATCCATCTTATCATACGAACACAGAGATACCCAAAACACCCCTTTAAAGCCATCCCATTAAAACTCATCAAAAAGTACACTTTGTTGAATGTTGACAAAATTTCCCGGTTGAAAAAAAAAAAGTTTAAACCAGCTTAAAATGGTTTGCTGGCCTTACCTGGTATCCCAGTTGGTTTTAAAGCCACTTATCAGCTGGTCGGGTCTAGACAAGCTTGACCATGTTGGGACACCATCATAAACCAGCTTAAAAACATGCAAACCAGCTCAGGCAGGTTTCAGCAGAGTTATTTTCTTTCAAGCAAGTACAGCAGATTTCTTTTACATAATTGGATAAATTAACATTTCTACTGAACAGTATTGATGACTCTTATTGCACTATATAGAGGTGTATGCAAATTTTTTGTCCAATCAAATGCTTGCTTTCAGTAGCAGATCATGCTCTCGGCTGTGATGCAAACTAAAGCCACTTGGTTATTTATTAACAAGAACAATAAAAAAGCCCTTCAATATGTCCAGCCTAAAACGCATCTTTAAAAGAAGAAAAGAAAGGTCTTTAGAGGTCTTCAAACCTCAGGATGGCGCTCTGCATGCGTGTTTATATGTGTGTGTGGTTTTGTATGACATCCTCCTCACTAATCAAACAGTGGTTTGTGGAGGCGTCTTGCTGTACGGCGCAGATGGGGCTGTTTTAGGCACATACGTGCTACATTCTCTTCCTTCTTGAAGAAACGGTCACATGACCACGCCTCATCAGTATGGCAACCTCCCAGGGAAATGACAAGAAGAAAAAACAGCTACTTTCAGACACATTCTAGTGGAGTGACCCACAGGTGCCCATTCACACACTCGTTCACTCGTTCATCAAATTAAGGTAGAACAGGAAGCGATTAATCTCTAAGTGTGCAGGTCTCCTGGACCGTAGTATGGTCAGTGAGTTCTTGAGTGTGTTTGTTTATAGAGAACCCACCATCATCCCGTGCCAAGATAGCTACGCGGCAGTTTTACTTTGAAACCCCTGCTCATTGACGTCAAAGCTGGAATTTCGGAAGGAGAAATGCTTCGCAGCCAAAGCAACAACAACACGGCCATCACCGACCCATTCCACAGGACAGGACAAACGGACGTAAAGCCAGTTGGTCTTGGCTTGGGATCACACACCCCCACACATCCGCCGATACCTGACCATTTTGAGCAAAAGAATTCATCTAATAACGTGTCTCCAATTTAATCCGAGCCTTGCGGTCTAAATACAGGAAATCTTAAATTGTTCCCTGACATTCAGAAGCACACAGAGGGAGGAAATCAGGACATGCTCCTTGACAAGTCATATACAAACAACACGCATCTACACTGACCTTTGCAGGTCTTGCCGTCGGGTTGAAGAGTGAAGCCCACCGGACAACTGCAGCGCACCCCGGTGGCCGTGTCCTTGCAGGTGCGATCGCAACCTCCATTGTTCACCGCACAGGTCTCTGGGTAAATAAACACACGGGATGGGACAGACAGAGGAAGTAAGGGAGCATAAACACAATTAGAAATCAATTTTCAACATTTTTGTAAGTCACTAGACATGGTTGACTAAGAACTAAGTGAGGATGTGCAGTCGTTTTGAGAGCTAGGCTTGACCGCAACTATTTTTGGGGAAAGGTGCATGTAAATAATGAATCCCAATGGATGCAGTTGGTAGTTTAAAAGGAATCACGAAACTAATACAGCACTTTGCCCTTAAACTTAGTAGGATGACAAGGTTCGTGACAGACATGAAACAAATACTTCATGAAAAAAGCTGGATTTTAAATTATTTCTGATAACACCATCCCTCTGCCCTTCCTTAAGCCAAAGATAAAGACTTCCTTGGCTACTTTGTCAGTCAAAATGTGAAATTAAAAAGACAAACAAAAGGAAAGAGTTGTGAATTTTTTTCCCTGGGGATAAAGTTAATAGAAGGGAAATCAGAAAACGGACAGCGTTTCTGAAGGTGGAGGGTGGAAAGCGGCGGGTTAGTCTTGTCACGTGAATGACTGTGGAGAGAAAGTCAAAATAAGCAGTTAAACTGGAAAACATTGTGTTTTACTTGCATTCAGATGCACATGGGCCAAAGACTGCTATGGAGGCATGAATTCGAACATGTTTTGATTATTAAAACTTAAAATTTAATATTTTAAGACTTAATATTAATATTTAAATACTCAGATGAGAGTTCCATCTTATATGTGATGTCATCACACATTCATTGTGTTCAAATATGAAAAATTGCTTAATTGGTCATTTTATGCAACAATAAAAAAAAAAAACATTCACATATTTGGGTCTCACTTTATTTTAAGGTGACGTAGTTACACATGACATTACTACATGTACTTACTATAGTAATAACAGTAAATGATCCATAACTACAAGTAACTAACCCTAACACAAAACCCTAACCGCAACTTGTGCATGTAAGTGCATGTAGTTAATTATTATTACTCACTACGTAATTTTAAAATAAAGTGTAACAATAGTGTGACACTTTAAAGTTTTGTCAGTTGCTCCGCCCACTGTGACATCTCATTGGTCCAAACTCTCATTCCACATAACTATATTAAACATCAGACATGTTCTGATTGGACCAGATTATATACCCACATAATCACACCTGGTTAGTACACTGTGTCTGATTCTCCAGGTCACGTTGGAAGCCGAGACGTCCATTTGGGAACAGTCATGGGATCTTTGAGCCATCATGTTTGCTTTTTGCTGACCACACAGTCAAAGACAAAGACCCAAAAGCAATTTGGTTGAGGACACAAAAGAGTAAAGACGTAGAAGATCTTCATCTTCAACAGCACGTTTTTTTCCCCCTGTGGGATGGGGAGTGGGTGAAGTGGCTTTCTGTTAATGATTTATTAAGCATGTCAAAGTCCCTGTTATTAGAGTTTTATGCTATGGGCTTTTCAACTGCTCCAAGAACAGCTGGACCGTCTTTTGCCCAGGGACATGTACATGGGACGTGCGTACACACAAACAGGGTTTGATTAAGTTAGCTGTGAATGAATACACCAAATACCGGCACCAAAAGTTCTCGAAAAGGGGTGTGGTAACTCTAAATGGGCGTGCCTTTCTGATTGATGGATTTGTATGTTTATATATACGGATATCACTCCTGAACGAAAGATGAAGATTCCTCAGACATCATGATCGTGTTTCCCGGCTCCTTTTGGCGAATGGCCAGTTAAAACTAAAAGCCCACAGTTGACTGGAGAGATTTTGACTGAACGTCCCAGTGCTGAAAAGAAGCCCTTCTTTGGGAGGAGAAGGAAACCACACAGACCTTCCACACATCTAGAGCTTTGGTGCCTACAACAACTTTCAGATAAAGTCTAGACTTGAGCCGAGAGACAGCTGCCCAGAGGTGTGTGACATTTATTTGGATCACGCTCCGGAGGTCAACGAATCAGAGATCAGCCCCTTTCCACATGTGCCCGACACATGGCAGTTTATTTAGATCAAATTCCCCCCCCTGCTGCTAAGTGACCACCTTTTTAAAACACCTATTTGTGTTCGGTGTCTCGCTTTCTCTTCTTCTTCTTCTTCTTCTCCAGTCTCTGGGTTTCCCATCATGCCTAGGTACAATAGCAGCTTTCTTTCTGACACCGACTTTCCAGTTTAATATGTCAGGATCGGTCACATCCTGGTGCTGTTGGCCTCAGCTGTGACAGGAGGGCAGGATGAAGCAGGAACACCGAGTGTCAAATCTAGCGTTCTCCTGTGGCTCCTGTGTGATAGAACACACACACTTGCACAAACACTCACATGCAAAGCCAAGCTACTTGTGTGAATCTATCATAACGGGCCCATTTGTGCATTATGAAACTTGGAATATGATCTTAGACGGGTGAAATAATGAGGTCAGTAAGATGGTGATGACATCACATGTGACTCTTAAAACCCTTCTTAAAACAACCTCTCCATACAGTTCATGGTATGATCTAGTGTGCATACACGTCAAAAAGTGCTACAGTTGAAATACAGTATAGCGTGTGTATATGTGTATCGGGAAAAAATGAATGAAATCTCAGCTCAAGGGGGGAAGCAAACTCAAACTGAAATGAGGTAGAAGCAGGAGAGTTAACATTGGGTCTATCTTCAATGCAGCTACTACAGGGAGGAGAAAGTAATTCATAAACCAAAGACACTATTTCAGAAATTATCAAAGAATCAAGAAGGTGATAAAGGGGGAAAAATCTCTGTATCGCCAGGTTCCCGGGTGTACCTAAAATTGTCAAAAGCAATCAGTAGTGAGATATGTATGAACTGAAAACTGGACTGAATATACTTTGGCTAAATAATTTTTAACCTGATAGAATTAAATGTAATTCACATTGATAAGTTGTTTTTTTTTTGTCACAAACATAACTTATTTTAAGTTATAATAATGATTTGAAAATATACTTATATTCTTTAGCCACAACCTAAAAAACTAGCCCTCTATACCTCATCGTTCAGAAAAGGTGTCTGGTCTGTCCTCCCAAATACTTTACAAACAGTTTTTCTGCCATACAAAGGCAGATCTGTTGTCTGTCTGACAACATCTTGGCCTTGGTTCATGAATTCAAGGATAAATAGCTAAATGGCTGATATATTTCTGAAGGTCGAGTCTGTGTGAGTTATCTTCTCTCTCTTAGGAGAGCTAACTGAAGCAGATGGACTGGAAACTAAAACTTTATTCTGCATTTCTTTTCCGCACCCTGAAACGATAATTCCTCCATAAAAGACACATTAAAGTCAACACAAAATCAAAAACGACCCTATATACTTTCAGAATCTGGTCTTAATGTGAACGATTCATCAATGCACGCTATCATTAAAATAGAACGATTATTTCAGATTATTCCAATAGAAACACTTGCTTTGCCTCTACAACTTTCTTTTTCAGTCAAGGGGTCAAGAAATTCACCCTTATACGGGCAAAAGTCATTTTTTTCCATTGACAATCATTCGGAAGTAACAAGGTATGACATTTTTGCAAGCAACATATTTGTCATTTATATGTTGCTTGCAAAAATGTAATACCTTGTTACTTCCGAATGATTATATATGTATATATATATATATATATATATATATATATATATATATATATATATATATATATATTATTTTTTTTTGTGTGTCCATTTAGGTATGTAACACCCATTTTTTCATGACCAGTAAATTCCTATTTGACAAAATCAAACCCTACATTTTTCTCATTGAATCTTGTTCAATTGGAAACAACGTTACATTACGAAAGTAAAACAGGTTTTGGCATTTCATGTTGACTTTAAAAGAGGGGGAGATTTTACAAATTTACAGATACTACATTTATGAAGCGCAGATGACAGAAGATAAATGTGGGCAGGTGATAAATGCCAATATTTAATTGTTAAGAACACATACTATTAATAGAGCGTAAAAATGATGTCAGGCATCTTCAGCGGTGGTTCACCACAGCCCACAGCCTCCTATGATGTGGAAACGGTCTGGACCAACTCTCAAGTCATTCTTTCTCCATAAAATGATCTGGCCATTATTTGTTCAGTATTCAGCCCACAAATGTTCCTCCAGTTCAACTAATCACTGTCTAAAATTACAACTAAAGCTGAAGTCATACAGTGAAATGTTCGACTGGAAAAGAGGGGATTGGTTTATCATCCAGTGTAGAGCAATCCAGTGTTGTTTTTGTTTCCGTCTTTGGGAGTGGATGGAAGCGGTCAGTTGTTAGTTGTGTTGTTTTTGTCAAAGAGAAGAGGCGGCGGCATTGAAGACAGTTTAAGGAGAGTGCAAAAGGAACCTTGTCATGTTTGAAGGGACATTTCTCTAATTTGTAGGAGGGTCAGACACAGAAATATCGAACGAGTGACCTCAGGGGGAAGGGCAAAGGAAAGGAAAGCAACTCAAACAAACTAAAGGACAGAAAGAAACGAGGGGGTAGAAGCACAAGCGCCATGGCAACACATAGAAAGAGGAAGAAAAGAGTTACCCATAAGTAGACGACGTTTCACCCGCTTGTCCACATCAGCTACTGACGTGGTATTGAATTCAGAGCTCTCAATTGCAGCCTCATCTTTCTCTAAAACACAAGTGACAGGGGACAAACAGGGAGGAGTAGGTTAATGAGAAGCCCAATGTCCATCGCCCGCACAGACAGCCCCGCTACAGGCTGACCCGCCTCTGGCGACACGTGGACGCCTGGACGCGGGCTGCCTGACCACCTTGGCGTTTGAGCCCAAACCAAAGCCAAGAGGCGTAAAGCCATGAAGAAGCGCAAATAACCCTGTTAGAGTGTTAATCACATGAACAAACAGATAAATAAAAGAATATCAAGATCTCCCAAAATAGGGGGGAAACGAACATGGGGACGTGGGAGGAGCTTAACAAAAGGGGGACAGGGATTGGACGGGAGGGGCAGAGATTTACAATAAGACGCTGTTTCCGTTGTAGTTCGTCTTCCATATCAAACAGCCACTTGTTTACCGCAGTAACAGAGAGGACGAGCAGTGGAGGAGGGAGAGAGAGAGAGAGAGAGAAAGAGAGAGACAAGGGATACAGAAAAAGAAGAAGGATGGATACAAGTCAAAAGACAAACTGCATGATAATGAGATGATGACAAAACAGGACACAAAAAAAAGGACACTCAGTGACAAAGATAGAGCTGAAAGGAAGATGATGACACAAGAGGAATGGAGGTCTCATGGTGGGGTCCATGAGAGGAAGGTGGGACATGCAGAGAGGTGGATGAATGACAGAGTCTGGGGCAGCGCTGGTTGCCTGTTTGTCTATGGAACACATTACAACTGGCTTGGACAGTCGAGTAAATGCAGAAAACCACTTTCCGAGCGTAGGGAATTGCCAGGCGAGTGTTGTGAGGAGGGTAATGGCTTCTGAGCATGCAGATACAAGCACAGAATTGGTGTTAGAGACGAAGGGGCAGGGATCGGGGACAAAAGGACCCAATCCTGAATGGGTGGAGGGCCAATCAGGATGTGGATGCTTGCCTTAAAGGGACATTTCACCTAAAAATTACAGTTCGGTCATCATTTGCTCAACCTTAAGGTGTTTCAAACCCATTTGACTTTCTTAGATATTGAGCAGAATGTTCACGCTGCTTAAATAAAAGCGGGCAGAGTCTGTCAAGCTCTATAAGACGACAAAAAAACGCACCATAAAAGTAGCCCGTGTGAGTTTTCTGAAGTCATATGATAGCGGTGTTAGTAAACCGGCAAAATTTAAGTCGCTATTTGCTGAAAGTAACTTATTTGAATTTGCTTACATTCAAATATGGTGAGATAAGATGCATCACACCAGGTTTAATGTCATTGACATGGTCAACGTATACATATTTGAATGTACAACGTCAACATTGAGTCTTTGTGTGAAGAACAGGCCAACATTGAAGCAGCTGTTTGCTGAAAGTCTTCTTATTTGTGTTTGTGTCAAAATGCCATATTTGATGATGTGCCATATTTGAATGTACAAAGTCAAAATTGAGACTGGCAACTAGTTTTATGGTGCTTGTTTGTAATTTTTGGAGCTTGACTGCATTTATCCTCATTTACTTTCATTGTGTAGAATAAAAAAGCAGCATGAACATTCTTCCTAACATCTCCTTTTGTGTTACACAAGAAAGACATACAGGTTTTGAATGACATGAGGCTAAGTAAATGATTTTTTTATACTTGGGTGAACACTCCCTTTAACATCAGGCACTGAAAGTCTGTTTGTCCTCCCCTCTTTAGTCACTTGAGGACACTAGAAAAACATTGAATGTGTGTGTTTACAGAAATCTGTCTATTTCTGTGTTTATGATTTGCCTGTATACAGACTTGGCTCTGACTGGCCTCTTTAGAGGACTCCACCAATCAGAGGTTGGAGTGAGTGCAATGTCACAGAGAAATTAAATAAATAAATAAATAAATAAATAGGGAAAGGAGAAAAGAATCAATAATCCACTACCTCTTATGTGACTACAGTAACCATAAAAAGCAAAGGGGTTACTCTTAATGTTTTTAAACAATAAAGAAGGAAAAACAATGAAATAGAACGATATTTCACACGGACAAAATCATGCAGGCGAATGACAGCTCGTGCGTTAGTGTGAGAGGACAGGAAGTGAGCTAATAAGAGTAAAAGAAGAAAGCGATAGTGCAGGGCGAAGGAAAACATGCAACTGGCATGAGGAGGAGAGAAGGATGCTCTAAATGAAAAAAGAGTGACAGATGAGAGTGGAGTGGAGGCCAGTTTTGCATTGTTTAGTGACACTTTTTATTCAGGGTTGCAGACGGGGTTGGTTCATGCTTGTTGTGGGGGACAAGAACGAGAAGATGCCATTGGCTGGCTGATTTCAGAGAGGTCAGGCAGGGGGCGGGACTGGTGTACAGATTGGCTGGTCAGAGAGGATGGTGTTTTCTGATTGGTGGGGGCTCTACCGTTGATCAGGCTGCAATTGAGAGGTGTGTTTAACCAGTTTTACCCTTTCTTTCTTGCATTCGTTAGTAGATTTGCTTATAAACCACTTTATTCCAGTCAGAATCACTCTTTAAATTGCAGACAAGACAGGCAATCAGTAACTTTCACCAGAGAAGCAGGAGGAAGAGCAGGGAGCCCATGAGACACGCCACACACAGGAGCGAAAGGGGGATCCTAAAGGAGCGCTAAACACAGTGAAAGACCATACCCACACAGCACAGCTAAACACACAGACCACAGCGAGGGTCCAGAGAGAGAGAGAGAGAGAGAGAGAGAGAGAGAGAGAGAAGAGGAAGAAAGGAGGAGGGAGACAGGGATGAGGTGGGAGCAGTCTCTACACTCCTCGTCTGGTCCCCGCGGCCGTTTGGTGTCGCTCCGTGGAGGCTGGAAAGGAAGAGTTGATTGAGTTTGACGGGAGAGAGTTTGGCTCCGGGCTCTAAGCTGCCAGAGAGAGGCGAACCAATCCAGTGTACGGCAATCAGCAGGTACAACAAAACAAACTTTTGCGTTTATGTTTCTGTGGTCAGGGGAAATGTACGTGTACTGTGTCAGTTGACAGTGTAATGCAAAACATGATTGGTCAGGACACAATCATACAAAATAAAGCTGCTTAACAGTTTCATATTCATTTAAATGATGGTAAATGACAACTATTTAAAGGGATAGTTTGCCAAAAAATCAATATTGTGTCATCATTTACTCACACTCTTGTCATTTCTTAATGACATTCTTCAAAAAACTAAAGAAGATATATATATATATATATATTAAAGAGTATTTTCTTCTCATACAATAAAAGCCAATGGGGTCTAAAACAAAAACATTCTTCAAAATATCTTATAGGTTTGTAATGTCATGATGGTGAGTAAAGGAGACCATTTTAATTTTGGGGTGAACTACCCCTATAAATGTGTAATGTGTACTTCATTAAAACATTTTGCACAAAATCTACTGTAGTATAGAACAAATAGTTTCAACTGAATGATTTGAGTTCATCTTATATAGTTGTACATTAAAGACAAAACAGTAGCATAATAAAGTTTTCTGTATTCTACACAAAGTGGGTCACCCCCATTTTGAGATCACATAAGCCGAAAAGTACTTATTTTACCTTGGTAAACTACCTGTTATTGGACATTTTAGATTGCAAACAAATCAACCATGTATGACTATAAATTATAAGCTTTTGCATCCATGCACTATTCCAAAACGACTGACAGATTGGCACAACATTAGAAAATTGCCCTTTCAAAAGGCACAATTTGTAAGATTATGGCATTAAAATATCCGGAAACCACTAGCACAGTGTTATATATTTTGTTCACTTGTGTAAATACATTATCCCAAATGTTTCCAACAATGTTTAAATCCAGAAAAATGTGCAAGTTTAACCAGTGTAACATCCCGTGTCATTGTGTCGCCTGCCAATGGCGCCATATCCGCGTTATCCCCGGTTTCCGCTTTTACTGCCGTAGAAAACATGGAAACACAGTGAGTCTCATGAATAAATGCGGAAGTAGTTACTATAGCGTCTAGCACGCCACTCTGTTGTTGTTTCGCACAGTCGTCACGGACCACGATTATTCATTATCATTTGCAGCAGGTTCTGTCGCCAAAGAAAACTCCAAGAAACGTAAACGTACGGGTGAATCAAATGACCCAAGAAGAGTTTGGGACAAGAGGAGAAATAAAACAAGAATCAGTATCAGTGTGGCATTTCCTAGACGGAGAGAGCTTCGCAATAAACTTCGACTGGACAAAGACGCTGATCTTTCATGTGTTTTATTAGGTGAACAACTTTTACCAACAGAAAACATTCCATTGGGAGTGGAGGTGAAGACGACAACTCCCGTCATGCCACGCTACTTCACAGCATCATTAAGCTACCCCTTTGTTATTGTTCTGAATATGCGACCTCTAGCGGCAAAAATTACATACCGTGCCTTTATATATACATCTGACGTCACTATACAGCCACTGGAATTTCTTGGCCTGGGTGTGAGGATCGGACACTGCAGTGCGGTAAAACTCATGTAACATGGAGTGTGTTTCCTGTGCGCTTCACATGACTGATGACCCTTCACTGGCTCACAAGCCCATGTGAGCCCACTAAACCCACCTGCCAACTACAAAGTCTCTATCCCCACATTTACTACGTTTCAGTCCCAGTTCATGTGCATACACCCTGTCTGGAAGGTTTTATGCTTACGCACACCTGGAGTAATGATACAAACTGCTCTAAATGTTAAATTTAGGGTATATGTACTCTCGTAACTGAAAGAAACTTTGTATCGGCTAATGATGTGGTAGCTGGCCTTCAGTTGGAGGAGTTTGAGGAGACAGCAAAGACTCATGAGAGCCAAATGACATAAAAAAGATGCTCTTTGGAAGGGAACTCAAGCACACATGCTGGCATAACAAATTATAAAAGCAGGTCAAACATCGCAGAGGCCATGAGGTTCACCCTAAGAAAACAAGCATAAAAATGAAACTTACCTGCAGTGGGTCATTTGTCTTCCCGAATTTCAAAAAGAAAGAGTGAGTTGAGAAAGAAAGAAAAAACATTTTCTTCTTCATTTCTGAAGTATTGCCCCTGGATGCAGCCGTACCCGCATGGCGTATAAAGTTTTCCCTTTCGGCAAATATGGCAGAACTCCATCTGCCGACTGGTTGGCTTTTCCACCATTATCAGAATGATGAATGTGTTTTGCACACGGAGAGTTCAGCGATTAAATTTCCATCATCAAGCACATCTTCCCAAACCGACACAAGCACACACATCTCTCTCTCTCACCCAACCCACCCTTTTCTCTGGCTTATGCACTTTTGCTAGAGCAAGATACATCAGAAGTCTCATTTTCTGCCCTAATAGTCACACAGAGCTGCGTGTGTGTGAGAGAATGAGAGCATGAAAGCCAGAAGAGAAGATGAATGACCAAATTAGCTGTGTCACTCCCCGAGTGTCACAACTAATGGGCTTTTCCATCATTGAATTAGCCACTAACTGCTAAAGCAAGCACTGAAAATCAACGCCATCCCTGAACCACAAGGATTTGATGCTTTCATGGGCAGGGGTTTGTAGATGAGAAACATGAGTTTTCTTTTCCCGCCGTTATCACTGACGTCAAACCTGTTATATTTGAATGTACACAAATGCAAATGCATTATTGTATCCCTTAATTGTTTTAGACAAAATATACACTTCTCTTTTCCACATAATGAAAGTGTCTGTCAAGCTACAAAATATGCAAAAAAGAAGGGATGCACAGATAATAAAATTCTGGCTGATTACACTTCACTCCACATTCAAATATGGAGCATTAGCCCCACACCAAGATCACATCAGATTCATTTGTGAACACAAATGAGATTTGAGACTATTGTGCAAATAGCACTATGGTGCTTTTCTGTTTGTAGCTCAACAGCTTCCAATAATTTTCATTGTATGGAAAAGAGACGTGCAAATCTCCTTTTGTGTTCCACGGAAGACAGAAAGTCATACGGGTTTGGCACAATATGAGAGTGAGTAAATGATGACAGAATTTTCATTTTTGGGGCAAACTATCCCTTTAAAGTTTTGCTTCATGAGTGGAGGACGCTACAATTGACATGTGTATGTTTATAGACCCCTGAACCGCAAGGAAGCAGTTCGTTCCTGGATGCCACATGGGCTGGAGTGTGGGGTGTTCGTCTCTGAGACGTGAGGCCAATCTTTGGGGTTCGCCGTGCCAGAACCCAATGCACTCTCTGACCGCAGTGTACCGGGACCCTCAAAGCGGAAACCGTGATATGGACCATTCGACCGGCCTACAAAAACATCTTCAACAAACATTCTGTCCAATCTGTCAGACACAGCCCTCCACATATAACCCTGGTAAAGCTCACTCACCTCGCGCTCATTGTGTAAATACGACAAGGCTGAGGTTTCCATGAAGAATTTTGCTAGAAAAGCTAAACGTATATAAACGACCAGGCAGTGTGTGTGTGTGTGTGTGTGTGTGTGTGTATGAGAGAGAGTGACTTACCAATGCAGGTCTTGCTGTCCGAATGCAGGGCATATTTCTGATGACATCCACACACAGGCCCCACGTCGGTGTCATCACACGAGTGTTGGCAACCACCATTTCCATAGTTACATGTCACTGGCAACACACAAGAACTGTGAGGAGGGCTAAAAAGAAAAGTGTACCGCTCTGGACACCCCTTTAATCAAGGTACACATACACTGTAAAAAATGATATGATCAATAAGTTATGACAACATATGTTTTACAAACTTTAACTCAAGTTAAGCAAGCTTATTGGTTTAAGTCAGTTTAATGTAATTTAAGTTGAATTGACTTAAACATCCAGATTGATTGCACTTAAGAATTTAAGGCAGAAACTCTTTTTTTTATGTATACACTTTGGTCATTGACAGATGGGGAAAATAAAATGTATATAATCTTGTATAGTTACATGGGGGGTTGCAGAGATGCTATAGAAGATTCCCTAAAGAACCCTTCAGCGAACAGTTCTTAAAACCATTTTTTTATGAACATCATTTAAGAACCTTTTCCCACTATAAAGAACCTTTTGTGCAATAGAAAGGTTCTATAGATTTTAAAGGTTCTTTATGGAACCATTAATGCCAATAAATAACCTTGTAGTCTAGCAAAATAAATAGGCTTAACAAGAGAGGACAAAACACATCCAATATCTTTTGTGGATGTCAAAGGCCTTTGGTTGGACAAAGAGACCGTCCAGATAATCCACATCTAATACATTGTGCAATACTTGGACGAATAGGAGTTTGAAGGACTTTGGTCCACGATTTTCCCACTAGTATTAAAAATAGAAGAATGACGAATCGTAGATGAAAGTTCTCCAGATGTTCAGGCCAGAGCCACAGCACTATAACTTATAAGTCCTTGACAGATCAGTGGCTGAGGTGGTTTGTTTAAGGGCAGATCAGTATTAGAGGGCAGACTAAAATCAATCTGTAAACCTGTTGTTTGGCTTTGATGCCACCAGCCGTTTTTCTTTGAGATGTATATTCAGAAGCCACTTGTGGCCATAAGGAAAAACTAAGGGATTTTTCATACCACTTGAAAAGAATCTAAACAAGTGTTGTTAACTTGAATGAGATCAATACATGATGACTTTATAATTTGTAGCTACATTAATTATAATTATAATGTGGCCATTTTAAATGTACATCAAGTAGAATTTTTTACTTTACTAAAAAGTTTGGGATCACTTTAGTTTAGGGTCCAATTCTCACTATTAACTAGTTGCTTATTAGCATGCATAATACTAGGATATTGGCTGTTTATTAGTACTTAAAGCACATAATAATGCCTTATTCTGCATGATCAAATTCTACATCCCTGAACCCTACACAATTCCTAAACTTAAAGCTGCAGTCCGGAACTTTTCCTCTTTGTCGCCATCTCTCTGTTCGAAATCTGTAACTGCAGTGATTCGCGGAATTATCATCTTTACGTGGGTTGTAAATCGGCATGAAACAGCGCGGATGAACACAGTGCTTTGAGGCGAGTGCTGCTGTCAGTCACCGCGCTGTGTGGATACTGTCATACAGAATCACAGATTCACTTTTTGAAAGTTTGACCAACATAAGAATTTTCATAAGAAAATGTCTTCTGAACAAGTAAGTAAAATCCATTTTTGTTCTGACCAACTAAGGGGGGAAAAGCATTCGACATGATAAGCTTCGTTAGATTTAATCAACGCGATTTACAGCAACCGTGCAAATTATAGCCTACTTTGTTCTCAAATTGTTCATGTTAACAACATCAGCATTGCGTGACTAATGTTAAATTTAATGTGTTTTATGGTTAGCAGCTACCTGTGTAGTTCAGAATTCATATTCTCCATAATAGCAAATCGAGAAAGGCACAACAAAGGAAACTCCATAACTGTGTGAATTAAGAAAACGTACTGTTACACGATTGAACTACTGAAATGTCTTACTTGTTCAGCAAAAAAAAGCTGTCTCTTCTTCCGTTTTGAACCCCTTCAAAACACGGAGTTCAAGCACTTTTTAAAAGCCCCGCCGATGTTTAAATCCTTGTGTTCGCATGAGACGGTTTCTTTCTCTTTCTCTAGCCACCTTAAATCCGAAGTACGAAGTCTTTTGGGTTTTATAACTGCTGAATCTCCAGTTGATGACACTGATGATTGTTGTTTGGATCTTTCTGGATGCCATAAGTTTAATTATGTAAAGTGCTGCGAGAAAAGCCTATACATCTAAACATCTCGTCACGCGCAGTATAGCCGGCTATAGCCGAAACTCCTTCTTTATGTGTACGGGTGTGACGTCATGACGCAAAGACATGCTCGAATTTCCCGCGGAAACCCACCAGTACCACTGGAATTAAAATCATTATTACAAGCTAACCGTTTTGAATCTAGCTATGGCAAGCAGATAGTTTTGACCACTGGCAGAATAAGTTTTTTTTTAATATAATTATTTTGGATTATTTTTAACTTAAAAAAGTTACGGACTGGAGCTTTAACAACTACCTTACTAACTATTAATAAACAGAATTATGAGTGTATTGAGGCAAAAGTCGTAGTTAGTTGGTTAATATTGAGAATTGTACCCTAATCTAAAGTGTGACCAAAAGCCTGAAGAAATGAGTAGTATTTTTGACAAATGTTTTAAAATGATGTACACTCACATCTAGTCGTATCGTGTCATTTCTATTCTGGTTAGGGGTTACATAACTAACGAAGTACATTTTTAAATTTTAGGAGTCTGAGAGACAGAGGGAGCAAGGATATTAATATGATTATGTTGCTAAGTTGGTACATACATTTGCAGTCACGTTGATTTTCCTCCAGCTCAAATCCTGGACGGCACTCACACGCCACACCACCTTTGGGAGTCTCTCTGCAGATATGGGCACAGCCATGTTCCTTATTCATACAGTTCATCCCATCTACCAAAAGAAAGACAGAGAGAAAGAAAGAGAGAAACCTGAGTTACAGTCATGTAATCTCCCATTACAAACACTCCTCTGTCAGGCTCCTGGAGATGAGCGTGTGATTTTTATGAGTGGTGTAAATTAGTTTAATGTTTCTGCCACAGGACCTTTTTTTCACACAGAGAACAACACTGACACCGGCTGACCTGTGGAAGCGCACACAAAGACTCTCTCCACGGACAACATGCTCAGCAAACATCTACAATCCTATTTTCTTCTGAGATTGCAAAATCTCTCCTCTTGTTTCACCCACAGGAATAATTCACCCACGAATGAAAATTCTGTCATCGTTTACTCACCCTCATGTCGTTCTAAACCCGTATGACTTTCTTTCTTCGAGGGAAGACAAAAAGTGAAATTATGAAGTACATATCGATTTTTTCCAATGCAATTATTATTTATTATAAAATGATACGGCTTTGACTGTTCCAATATGTCGGGCGCCTTAAATGCATCCTAAAAGTATTGTAAAAAAGTGGTCCATTCAACCTGTGCACTATATTCCAAATCTTCTGACAGCATATGTCGAGTATGTGTGAAAATAGACCATTTAAGTCATTACTCTTATAAATAGAGCAATGTATCATGAACGAACAGTTCTAATTTCAATGAGTCGCCTGATCCAGTTCACGAATCAGGGTTGGGTTTCCCAAAAGCATCGTAAGCTTGACGTTGGTCTCTACGATCAACTTAGGCTTACGATGCTTTTGGGAAACGCAGTCCAGAACGATTTGGTTCTTCAGTTCAGCTCAAGGCTCAACAATTTAATCATATGCTTTTCTGTCGTTTTAAAGATTAAAAACTGTGATTAAATGTAATTGCAAGGAAATATGAGCAGTATATATATACACACACATATTTTATGTACTATATATTACTAGTATATATATATATATATATATAATATGTATATCTATCTATCTATCTATCTATCTATCTATCTATCTATCTATCTATCTATCTATCTATCTGTATACAAACTACAAATATATATATAATCTGCCGTTTTAGGGCAAAAAATCATGCAGGTTTTTGGAATGACGTGACATTGCATAAAATGACAGAATGTTCAATTCAGGAAATGATAAATTTCAGTTTGCTGTTTCCTTTTTCTCTGATCTCATAAGTAGAGTATAACGGTTATCTAACACAGCATCTCTCACCGTCCTGAGTGAATCCTCCAAGTTTCCTAAACAAAATGATAACATAAAAGCCCGGAATAAAAGAGCCAGACAAGGAATGACAGAAAGGAACTGTTGGGCTTCTCTAATGGACATCCTCCTCATCTTCAGGCCAAACAATGAGCAAAGAATGTGTATGTACACAAAAGCAAGTCTCCGTGGAAACATGGCGGGTTCTTGCATCTCTGCCCCCTCTGTAGCCTCTTCAGAAGCGCTAAGTGCTCTCAGGACAGAGCCTAAAGTAGGCTGCTTTTCTGTCGGCGTCCCAGAGGACACCTTGATGTGCCTAATTAACGTGGACTCTGGAGAGGGTCATCAAACCTTTAAACGACAAAGAGATCTGCCACAATTCTCACCCAACGGTGTGAGAGTGTGAAGTGCTATAGAACATTTTAAACACTACTCGAGGTCAGTGATTGGCAGACTAATGTAGTGAGAGACTTGATTGGGCTGCAAAGGGTTTGATAGGGTTTTAACTGGAAGTGCGGGAGATAAAATAAGACCTTCTGCCCGGCTAAAGTTTTAAATATGCCATCCAGCTGTCACAAGAACACAGACCGAAAAGGAAACAAAATATTGACCTCTTTCACCTCAGACTGTCATTCCTCCATTTGTGTACATCCACAGCAGCACTCAGGAAATATGTGAGAGAAAATGGCAATTATGGGAAATTTTAAGTGAGTGCTTGTGAGAGAAAAAGACAGCAGGCTCATGCACATACGTGTGTTTAATATCAGTATACACTCTGTGTGTGCATGCGCTCTGTTACTCATAAACCCACCACTTAAAATAAGTGCTCTAAAAGCCCCAAATGCAATGTCAAAAGAGAAGCCACCTTTTAAAGTCTAAGGTATAATAATTTATACACCAATTACAGTACAGCTCAACCCGGCGTTTCTTCTGGGCCGACAAAATAGTCTCATATGTCCATAGATGGAGAGAATAGGATGGAATCTGTCTTTGTAGCTCTGAACGTCAACATAATGTGGATACATATAAAATAAAGACCTCTTAAGATGGCCTACATATCCGACAACTCTTTATAAGGGTGGAAAAGTTTTGTTTTAGCCCAGTGGCTCTGAATATCATTTAGCTTGCTTCTGATGTGTAAAATTGTTCAGCATGTTAACTGTATTCAAGGGGTCAATGTTAATACAAAATTCCTCGATCTTTAGAAATTAAGTGTTCAGAAAATTAGCAAAAATGTGTGCCGTTTCTGGCTACGCCGTATCTGCAGATCCTTCTGAAACATCTGAACAAGTTCACAGATCATTTCGGTCCAATCTAAACCATTTGTGTGGCACATTTCAAACTACACTGGAGCAGAAAAGCACTCTTACTCATTTCATAGCATTTACATTTTAAAAGCAGAGCATGTTTAATTCTAAAGCTTCCTATTAGATTCTAAAGATCAGAGAAAGGTTAAATGGGCAATGAAAAACTAAATTATGACTGGGTGCAAAACAACTTTGACTAATATTATTAATTATAAAAATGATTACAATATGACACCTGTAATAGTCTTGCTAACAGGAAGTGATGTAACTGGTTTCCAAGGTTACATTCAAATCTTGCACGTTTGGCAAAGTTTGACAAGTCTGTCATTTTATGTAACAAATGAATTTCAGTAAAAACCAGTTAACTATACATGAGTGCATACACAAACACGGCCTCAGGCCCCCTTTTTTCCCATCTCTTGTAAATGCCATTTTAATTGAAATCTGTCAGACTTTCAATCTCTCTCCAAATGCACAATGCTATATGTACTAAGCCATGAATTTCAATGAGGCTCTTTTTCACCAGCAACCATTGATGTCCTTCAACTGAAAACAGCCTTTTCCAAAAACCCTCCCCAATCTCTACTTCAAACACAAGCTTTCTTAACAGCTCGTCACAAGTTCTCTCTCTCTCTCTCTCTCTCTCTCTCTCTCTCTCTCTCTCTCTCTCTCTCTCTCTCTCTCTCTCTCTCTCTCTCTCTCTCTCTCTCACACACACTCTCTCTCTCTCTCTCTCTCTCTCTCTCTCTCTCTCTCTCTCTCTCTCTCTCTCTCTCTCTCTCTCTCTCTCTCTCTCTCTCTCTCTCTCTCACACACACACACAAGCTTATTAATTACGGCTAACATTAAAGTGGGCCTTTTTTCTGGAACCTTCCCCGGCTAACCCAGTGACCCTTATTGAAGTCACTGTGACTGGAGAAAGAGACAGTATCCCGGTGTCTATGTGCATTTCTATTCTCTCACTACATCTGTCTCTCCCTCAACATGAAGGTTTACAAATAGCTGGTGATCATACACTGAGGCAAACATACACACTTTAGCCTTTACGCCTCTATTCTGACATAACGCAGCTGTTTTCTTCAGTGAGGAATGAGTCAGATAGCAAAAGTGGGAGAAAGAGAATCTGAAAAAAACCCCAAAAAAAAACACAGCTGGACATGTATCAGGACACCTCTAATTTTGCACACTTCTACCAACCAGGGATGGACTGGAACAAAAAATATCATGTGCTCCAGTTCATAGCCAGCTGTAATACTTTTTTAGAGAATTTTTAAACATGTTATATATTTATATATTAGATAGGGCCTATGTTTTAGGGTAACACTTTAGAATACGGTTCCTTCGTTAATGAATAACTACACAGGAACAAATAAGTAACACAATATTAACAATCTAGTAACTACTATTAACTAACAAGAAATTCTGATTAACAAATTAGTAAGTACAGCGCACAGATGAAAGTGGTAGTTCACTATTAAATAATCAATAACTACTTTTTTTAATGCTTCCCAGAGAACTACTGTAAGAATCATGGTAACTAACAAGTAATGACTCAAGTGTTACTACATACTTCTAAAGGAATGACTAATTATTTGGATCCGTATTCTAAGTGAAGATCATGGTAACTAACTAGTAATTACTCAAGTGTTACTACATACTTCTAAAGGAATTACTAATTCTTTTAAGCTTTTGAGGTTTTTGGTGAAGTTTTAGATAGTAATTCCCATAGAAGTATGTAGTAACACTTGAGTAATTACTAGTTAGTTACCATGATCTTCACTTTAGAATACGGATCCAAATAATTAGTAATTCCTTTAGAAGTATGTAGTAACACTTGAGTCATTACTAGTTAGTTATCATGATTATTACATGAAAAGCCAATCCTAAAGTGTAGAATCTTCTAATCCCTCACAAGATATTTGCACGCACGTATGAGGTAGGAGACATTAATAAAATCTTCTTCTTTTTTTTGCGAGGTATAGGTTAAATAATAAAATCACTGAATATGGTATTTGGATGGCCGATAACTCAATATGTTCCAGCCGTCACCGTGACTCTGGCCAATTTCTGGCATTCCTCTGGACAGGCATTGAATCACTACAGGACAAGTAAGGTCCCGACAACTGCATTTAAAAAGCCATTTCTTTAAAATTATTCAGTTGATAAATAGTTCTCTAGGAGAGAGCATAGGCTAATTATTTCCCAAATCATAAGTCTGCTATGCTATTACATATTGATAAACCGTGTGTATTTGTTTACAGCAGTTATTAATGTTAATGTAGTGCTAGTCATTTGTCCTGCATTAGTTATTGATTAGTTTTGCATGAACTATTAATATTCTTCAGTAGTTCTCTGGGAAGCATAAAAAAAATAGTAGTTATCAATTAGTTAATTGTGAACTACCACTTTCATCTGTGCGATGTTACTTACTAATTCGTTAATCAGAATTTCTTGTTAGTTAATAGTAGTTACTAGATTGTTAATATTGTGTTACTCA